GAACAGATACACACATGCCTCCCAAAGGAACAGATGCATAGACCTTGCAGGAAGGAGAGATGACAGAGCCCTTACCCCTGAGGACAGACACTGAAATTAAGCCCCATCCCCACCCCAACTTGGCCAGAGAGACAAACATATAGACCTTCCCAGAGAATGGTACCCACCACCCTTCCCCAACACCAAAGTGCAGATTCCCACATCCCCCAGGAGGACAGGCAGCAGATGGGCTCCCTCTCAGCCCAAGCCAGGTCTAGAGGCTGCCTGACGACGAGGTCAGGGCTGGGAGGTGCCTCTTTCTCACGCTCTCTGCTACCCTGTCGGAAGCCCAGCCATTTCCTCTGCCTCGGAGGAGGGGATGTTGGGGTGGGCGATGGAGGAGCCCATGACCGGGATCCCAGGGGGCCAGATGTCAGAAGGGGACAGCTGATTCTCCGTGGCCCCGCAGCCTGGCCGGGGTGAGAGGGTCAGCAGACAGGGTGCTGACCACCCGGCCAGGCTATGCACCATCAGGAGCCCCCTGGCCTGACGTCAGTCGCACTCATTGTTGTTGCTGGGGCTTGAGTCACTCCCCGTGACGCCACTGGGGTCAGCTCCGGAGCGACTGGGGGTGGCCTGCAGGCCCAGCTTCAGGGCTTAGCTCTCCCCTGGGCACACACTAGGATGGGGTGGGGCCATCCAAGGCCACAGTCACCATGCAAAGCCAGCTGCCTACTCCCAAGGTCTTGGGTTGGCCTTCAAGGTCCCTCCACGGGCCTCAGCTGCCGGCCTGCTCAGAGGGCCTCAGCCAGCTGCCCAGCTGCCTGGCTGGCCGTGGCGCCGGGCTCTGACTGAGAAGTCCACTCTCTCTGTCTTTGCCTCTCCTGCCCCGCAAGCCTCAGTTTCCACCCTCGGCTCTCAAGGAGACCTCGCCCCCAAGCCTTTTTCTTTCCCCTTCTCCGGGAACCCCCCCTTCCTGAATAATTCCCTATAGCTCCACTTCTTTCTGGAACCACTCCCCCCTTCCTGCCCATCCCCTCACGCTGCTATCCTGTGCTCTCTGCAGCTATCCCGGTTTTCTCCTGGTGTCCAGTCACTGCCCACCTTGCCGAAAGCAGGGCTTGGGCCTCTTCCTTATTCTCAATGTAGCACGTTCTCTCCCACAGGCCCGCGAGATTGACAGCAGGAGCCTCCGTCCCAAGCCCCCTCTGGCCCCTGTAAAGCCTGCTGCCATTTCTTTCATACCAGGTCTTGTGTTCTCCTGCCCAGGAGGAACATTTCCTCTGCAAGACTTTGAGCTTTCAGAGGGCCACACTGTCCACCGTGGTATGACATGGGTGTGCCATGTGGACAGTTACATGTCTGGCATGAATGAATGAATAAGTGAATGAATAAATGATTACATCTTGAAGGGGTGCCTGGCTCAGTCTGTAGAGTGTGAGACTCTTGAACTCAGGGTCGTGAGTTCAAGCCCCCTGTTGGGTGTAGAGCTTACTTAAAAATAAAATCTTTAAAAACAACAACAAAAAAGATTACATCTTGATCATCGGGTGGGATAATTCATTCCACACAGTCTCACTTTTTGGACCCTCCCTCCCTGAAAGGACCACCCACATGGGTGTAGGACCCAAGGTCTGAGGTGCAGTGAGAACTGCCCTGTGAGGATTTGGGGAGGTAAGAGGAGGCAAGGATTGGCCAGCATCTGGTTGGAGACAAGCAAGGTGAGGGGGCTCAGCTTCAGCCTCAGGCAGGAAAGCCTCCAGGGGCAGGGTGAGTTTTGGAGGAGGGACAAGAGTGGATGAAATGAGGACAGAATGTGTGGCCTTGGCAAGTGTATTAGTCAAGGTTCTACAGGGAAAGGGAACTAATAGGATGTATATCTATAGAAAGAGATTTGTTATGAGAAATTGGCTCATGTGGTTATGGAGGCTGATAAGTCCCTAGATCTGTAGTCAGCATGTGGGAGACCCAGAAAAGCTGGGGTGTAGTTCCAAATGCTGGCGGGTGGGAGACCCAGGAAGAGCAGGTATTTCAGTTCAGGTCTGAAAGCAGGAAAAAAACTCAGCATCCCAACTTGAAAGCAGTCAGGAGTTCTCCTTATTCACCGCAGGGTCAGCCCTTTTCTGCTATTCAGACCTTCAACTGATTGGGCAGGGCCCACCCTATTGGAGAGGTAGTAGTCGGCTCTACTCAAGTCTACCAGATTCAAATGTTAATCTCATTCAGAAAACACTCTCCCAGACACACCCAGAATAATGTTAAATAAATTGTCTGGGCACTCTGAGGCACAGATAAGTTGACACATAAAATTAGGCATCAAAGTAAGTTACAACATATCACTGAGCCTCGGTTTCATTACCTTGTAAACTGGGGGGAAATTGTATTTACCTTCAAAGGTAGCTGGAGAAATCAACACAACAGTGCATTCGAAGTGCTGGTGTTGTGCCTACTAAGGCTCAGTGATGGGTAGTAGTAGTGACGATGATGATGATGTCAGGATTGTGGCCTCCCTGAGATGGAGGGTGTCAGGGGTAGGGAAGAGATCAGCTACTCCCTTCACTGACCGGCAGTCTCTGGGAGTTAGGCTCTGATCGCCTCCCCCACCCCAGGGCTGGTTCTAACCTCCTTGGGTCTCCCCTTTTGGCTCCTCACACACTCAATATTTTATGCTGATTCCTCCTGGTTAAGTCCAGGCTCCAGAAGAGGTTGCTGGTCTGTAAGGCAGTCAGCTTTCTCCTTCCTGAGGCCCTGGGGGTACTCTGAGGCTGCCAGGGGAGAGGTAGCTGCACCTGGGACAGAGACAAACCAGAGACCAAGTGCACCAGGGCCCAACTATGGGGAGGAGGATGAGGGGATAGGGAACCGATGAGGAGGGGGGAAAGGTCAGCCAGAAAAGGAGTTGTGTGAGGGTTTAAAAAAACTGGTGGGAGGGCACCTGGGTGGCTCAGTCCGGAGTCTTGATTTTGGCTCAGGTGGTGATCTCAGCGTCCTGAGATTGAGCCCCGTGCTCAGTGCGGAGTCGGCTTGAGAGTCCCTCTTCCTCTCCCCTGCCCCTCCTCCCATTCACACTCTCTCTCTCCACCCCTTTCTCTAAAATAAATAAACAAACAAACAAATAAACAAAATCTTAAAAAAAAAAGAAAGAAAGAAAACCTGGTGGGAGAGGGGGAACCTAAAGGGTGTGCTGGAGCCGGCAGGTACTGGTGCTGGAGAGCCCATTGTACCTCTGATGATCAAAATGTAATCCTTCATTCATTCCGGACTCTGCATTCCGGGATGTCCTGTAGCTTCAAATCAGCCATCATAGGAAACTAGCAAACGCTACTGATCAAGGCATCTTCTCACAAGAGAGCAGGCTTTGAGTGGGGTGTATTGGAGAATGGTAGTGCATGGGGAGGGTCAGGGTGGAGAAGCCAGAAAGAGAACTTCTGTAGTGGTATGGAATCCTGCATTTGAACCCCAGGCTCGGCAACTTACCAGGTGACATTGGGCAAGTTACTTAACCTCTCCCAGCATCAGTTTCTTTATCTGCCTTCTAGTATTGATCGTTATCAAGCTTAATTGACATAACATAAAGCACTTAGAATCATGCTCTTTACGTTCCACTCAATAAATATGATCTATTATTATTTTGGGAAAGAAAGTATGTTAGCATCTTAATCCTCAAGTAAACTACTCAGGCAGAGTCTCGGTAGGGGCATGCCAGGCTCTATGGGCATTAACAAAACAATGGACAAACCTCTGCCTGCCCTGGGCTTACGATCTACATGGACAACCAAACACTCTCCCAGAAGTTACAGAGCACTAAAAATGCACTCATTCGTATAACACTTCACATTCCACAAAGATCTTTCATATGAATTATCTGTGAGCCTCACAACAGCGCCCCATTTATAGAGGAGAAAATCAGAAAGGATGAGTGACGTCAAGAGGCTCACACAGGGGGCAATGGCAGAATTATGAGCCTTACAAGAACTGTCACCAGATAGGTCATGGTAGAGCACCAAGTAGTGCTCCTGTATGAAGATAACACAGTAAGGTTATGCCCCTTTCTCCAGCATCGTGGGGCCAGGGATTCTGTCTATTATGCACGCTGGACAAGCTAAAGTTTTGCCATCCGTTCAGCATCATGCAGCGCACCGGCCTGGGCTCATCTCCAGGCCACCTCTCCAGATGGCATGCCCTTCATCTTGGGGGATCAGTGCCCCGTCCACACCCCTGCGCCCGGAGTTGGGAAACTAGACCCGCGTTCCAGAGGCTGGCTCGTCGCCGATGACTCCTCTCCGCCTAGGGAGGCGGCACAGAGCGCACTGGCCGCTCCTTCCCTCCCATCTCTATGGCGGAAGTGCGCCGTTCCAGCCGAAACACAACAACATTCTCGGTGGTGGGAGTGAATGGACTCGTCCAAATGAGGGGGATACGTCTCACCATCGAATCAAAAGCTCCGAGACCTAATCAAGACAAAAAGTTGCAGGCTTTTACGGAGCAGTATGTGGCCCCCTGTGTCCGTTGGCGTGGCTGTAAGGCGGGGCGGGCGGCTGCGCTGCGTCGGGGCCCGGCCGGGCGGTGTTCGCGCCCCCCCCGCCGGAGGCCCGCGGAGCCGGTGGAACCCGCCCGGCTGGCGGGGGCGGAGGCCCGGACTTCCGCCGCCGGCACCGCCTCCTGCCGCGGTGGTTGGGCGCCCGCGGGAGCGCGGCTGCGCGGCCGTCGGGTCTGGGACGCGGGCTCGGGAGGTGGGGGGCCGTTCCACCCAACCGTCTGCCCCCTCCCCCTGTGCCAGCGCGGGCACTCCCCGGGCCGGCGGGAGGGACGGCGCGCCTCGAACTCCCGAGCGCGGCCAGGCTGGGCGCGGGGAGGCTCCCCCACCCGCACCTCCCGGGACCTCAGGAGGCTGCTCCTCCCCTGGACCCTGGACTTCGGCGGGTCGCGCGTGGTGGCGGTGGGAGACACGGGACCCGGGCGGAAGGTCCTTCCTGGGCCCGCCAGTGTCTTGACGCGGGGCCTTCTGTTTTTGCTTTTAGGCTCTCTTGCGCTCGGGCGCCGGCGTGGACGTCGAGGCGCACCTGCGGAGGGGGCACCTGCGCGTGAGGAGGAGCAAGGGCATGGTCCGAGCCTGAGGGACCCGCGCTCGGGCCTGTACGCGTAAGTGGGCATGGGGATGCCCTGGGCTCCAACCTGGCTCTGTGCTCTACAGACCTGGGCCTTGGGGGGAAAGGAGGGATGAGACTTCCCAGGCCCTGCTCCAGAAGACCCCCTCCTCACCGGAGGCGGGGGTGAGGGCAGGGGGACAGACAAGCTCATCACGGACCAGAGGTGGCTTGCTGTGGGAAGGAGGCTGGGGTTGGTTGGTCACTACCGACTTCTTGGAGGAGTGTTGCCTAAAACTGTTCAATAATGAGAGAAGAGCCTGGGCGTGGGGAAAAGAAAGAAGTGGCCTGGGTGAACGTTTGTGGGGGACTCCAGAGGGGGAAGTGGTGGAAGAAGGGGGAGCCGGGCCAGAGCTGGGAGCCTCTAGATGGGAGGCTGTTGAAGGGAAAATACTAGAGGGCAGAAACGAGTGGGAGAGTCCGACTCCTCCTGAGTGTAGGAGAAACCAATCCAGCAACCTTTGGAAGGACCTGGAGGCTCCCGGTCAGGGTGATTTGAGCAGTTACTTTGTACTAGGTTCCAGGCACCGAGTTTCCAGTGATGAGTAGGGTCCAGCCCTGCCCTCAAGGAACTGTCTAGTGGGAGAGCTAAGACAGGGTAACACCCGTGAAGAGATGGCTGCTAGGACAGGTAGACTCGCGCTGGTAGCCGAGCCAGAGGCAGAGCCAGCGTGATCTCTGAGCTGTTCACAGACTGCCTCATGTTCACTGCTGAGCACTGCTCTTTGATGGGGATGAGACAAACTGAAATACACAGAGGAGAGCTGCCAGATAAGATGTGATGTCCAGCTAGCACGGGTATGGGGACTGGGGACCTTTAACCTGTGGTAGGGGTGAGGGGTGATGGAAGAGTTGTGTCCGGATATCAGAAAGGCACATTAGTGGAAAAGGGGTGAGACTCCTGATATCCAAACTGTGACCAGGGGTTTGAAGCACTGAGGGGCAGATTCCCTCTGCAGAAGGAATACCTGAGTAGAGCTGTCTAAAGATGGAATGGTCTGCCGTGAGAGGTGGTGAGTTCCCCGTCAGGGCAGGTTTGTAAGCTGAACGCTCAGCAAGAAATGTGACTGTTCCTTCTCCTTTGGGGCTCATGTTCAGCTACTTACCAAGTCTGGTTTGCAAGTCTGTTCTTGCCTTCCCACTTGCTCCACCTGTGTTGTATCATAGCCTGTGTCCTCTCTCGGCAACAGTGACATCATAATGAATTATACTGGCTGATACTTAGTATTTACAACTGGCCAGGTACTGCATTAAGTGCTTCACAGGTGCTAACTCATCCACTCCCTGGGACAGTCCTTCCAGGGTAGCTTTTATAGATCCCCTTTATATAGATTCAGGAACCTGAGGCACATAGGAGTTAAGTAGCTTGCCCAAGGTCACACCATGAGCGAGTGGCAGAGCTGGGGTCCCAACCCATGCTGTCTGGCTTTAGAGTTGCTGTTTTTAACCACTATTCTGCTGTGTTTTACGTAGGCGATTTTATTTGATCCTCACAAGAATCCAAATTTACAGATAAAACACAGTGATTTGCTTGAGGTCACAGAGCAAGATATAGGAGAGCTGGGGTTTGACCCAGGACTGTTGGATGTGAAACCGTCCACACTTCGCACTTCACTCCCTCACATCCCATTGCGCTGCCCCTGTAACTGTCCCTACTGTCAGGGCCTCTAAGTGGTCTTCTTGCCAAGCCTTTCTGCCTTAAATCTGAGTTTTTATCCTGGAGTCTGTGGATGGCCCTGGCACTAGGTGAGATTGGGGGTGTGTGCGTGTGTCAGTCAGGTGTCAAAGCCCAGTCTTCATTTTTTTTTTTTAAGATTTATTTATTTGAGAGAGAGAAACCATGAGCAGTGGAGTGGAACAGAGGGAGAGGGAGAAGAGAGCCCACCGAGGGTCTCCATCCCAGGACCCTGAGATCATGCCTTGAGCCAAAGGCAGACGCTCAACTGACTGAGCCCCCCAGGCACCCCTCAGTCTTCAGAGTTTTTATTGATTTCTCAGAGCAGTTTCTGGCCACAAAATAGTGAAGAGCAATCCTTTGCCTTTTATCCGGTTAACTTTCTGATGCACAGATCTGATCTTGGCACAGTGATGCATTGACTCTTCACTGCCCTCAGCACAGGGTCCAAATGCCTTAACCTGGGCATTCAGACGCCCATCTTCCTTTCCTTTTTACTCCCGCCTTGTACCCTGGCCAGTCCGGTGGCCTTCACCTGCCTTTCTCTCGTCCAGTCCCAAGGCCGCTCAGGAGCAGGGGCCGTGCTCGCCTTCAGCGGCCAGCGCCTGGCAGGTGCCGCACAGGGAGCCTTCGCGGGCCACTGCACTGGATGCTGTCCTGAGGTCAAGCCCTGGCTGGTTGGTTGGGCTGGTAACTTTGAAGTTCTCCCTTTCTGATCCCGAGAGTCTTCCTGGTAGCAGTGCTGTCAAAACGCAGAGAAGGGCCACGGAGGCAGAGGCTGGCCAAGCCAGGAGGGAAGTGGACAGGTAACATACAGATCATTCAGAAGGTGTCAGCTCGCTGACCTGGCTGCTCTTGCAGGGTGGCCCCTGGCTGGGGTGAAGCTCCCCCGTGTTTATTCTTGCCCCGCCCTCGGGTGCGGGCTCCTGGCTGCAGGATGAACTGTCGCTCGGAGGTGCTGGAGGTGTCGGTGGAGGGGCGGCAGGTGGAGGAGGCCATGCTGGCCGTGCTGCACACGGTGCTCCTGCATCGTAGCACGGGCAAGTTCCACTACAAGAAGGAGGGCACCTACTCCATTGGCACCGTGGGCACCCAGGACGTGGACTGTGACTTCATCGACTTCACCTATGTGCGGGTCTCCTCTGAGGAGCTGGACCGTGCCCTGCGCAAAGTTGTCGGGGAATTCAAGGTAGGGAATTCAAGGTGGCGCAGTGGGCGGCAGGTGGACCTCGAGTGCCCCTCCACCCTGGCTTGCTCTTGGACCAGCTTACCCTTCCTGAGTGTTTCTGTCAGGTTCTTCCACGGTCTAAGGAACAGGTGTGTTCAGCGCTCCTTGCGGGGAGAAGGGCTTTGGGCAGGGGCAGGGGCAGGGGTTGGTAAAAATACCCACGGAAGGAGAGCAGGCAGCCCCTGCGGCATGGACATCGGGTTCCCTTGGGTGCTTCTAGCCTCCCACCTCTGGGCTGGACCTTCTGTCTGACTCTTCAGCTCTCCTCTCCCTCCTGACTCCTCTCTGCTTCCGCTTTCCCCTTCAGGAAATTCCTTTCCCCTGGGAAATTCCCGGAGAGGGAGGCTTGCAGGGCTCAGGTGCTTGCCGTCCAGTGGGGCGTCGCAGCGTGGCATGTGTTTGTGTGTACCTGTGGGGGCAGGGAGGAAGGTGGCAGGGACACAGCGGGCTGCTAGTGTTGGTCACCTCAGGCAGTGGGAATTTGTTTTAATTCAGGGTTGCAGTGTTTCACTATTTCAGTGAGTGGCTATTTTGAATTTTCGAGTAAGAGGGAACTTTTTTTAAGGAGGTGAGAGGAGGAGGGTCGTCTGTCTGACTTCCATTCCACAGACATTTGGAGAGCGCCTACAGGGTGCTGGGCGCCATGTGCTCATGGCAGGAGGTGGACCCTCCCCCAGGGCCCAGTGTTCCCCCACTCGCACTCCCTAGTCCCTCTTCAAGGGAGGCTGTGGTAGTCAGCCGTCTGTCCTCTAGACACCTGTAAGAGGCACGTGGCGTATAATGGTTAAGAGCATGGATTCTGGAGCCAGGCTCTACCACCCAACAAGGTGTGACCTTGGGCAAGTGACTCCACCTCTCTGGCCCTCAGTTTCCCTGTATGTAAAATTGGAATGATAATCATACCTGCCTCATAGGCATAGGCACTCAGGATTAAATGAGTCCAATATGGCAAGTGCTTGGACCAGCCCTGCACCACAGGAAGCTAGAGAAGTGTTAGCCATTATGACTACCAGTCAGGGTCCCGTGACCTTGCTTTGTCCACAAAGGAGAGAATTACTCCTTGATGGACGGTTAGGACTTGAGGGAAGCATCCTTACCCTCCGAGTTGGTCTTAACTCAGATGGAAAGGGGCTTCAGGGTTCCAGCCGCCCTAGGAGTGTAGGGCCACCACACCCCCTGGAGGTAGGGGATAGGCAGAATTACTGGATGAGATGGTCTCATTTGCTTCTCAGAGGAGAAGAGGGAGAAGCCAGGTCTGGTCTGTCCTTCTCTCCCCCCTTCTGTTTCTTGGTTTCCTTTTTTTCTTTTTTTAAGATTTTATTTATTTATTTGTGAGAGAGAGAGAAGTGGGGGAGGGGCAGAGGGAGAAGCTGACTCCCCCCTGAGCAGGGACCCCCCCCACCCCCTCTTGCACACACCCCCCCCTTTGGCTCAATCCCAAAGGCAGATAGATGCTTAACCGACTGAGCCACCCAGGTGCCCCTCTTGGTTTCCTTTTTTCTAAGTAAGGATCATTGGGCTTTAATCCCCTTTTCTGCTTTTCTTTAGAGACAGATTTTGTTGGTTTGCTAGGAACACTCAAGTTTAGGCTGGCAGTTTGCTGTGTCACTGCACATGAATCCTTTGCCCCCTGTGGGTTTCATTCCCTGCCCTCCCTGAACGACTAGTAAAGCTCGGAGAGCCTAATTTTCACCCTGGGGTGTAGGAAGGAGGCGCTTACAGGGCGAGAGCCCCTCCAAGGTCTCGGCCTGCTCATCTGTTACCCCTCCTTCCCCAGGATGCGCTGCGCAACTCTGGGGGTGATGGGCTGGGGCAGATGTCCCTGGAGTTCTACCAGAAGAAGAAGTCTCGCTGGCCTTTCTCGGACGAGTGCATCCCCTGGGAAGTGTGGACGGTGAAGGTGCACGTGGTTGCCCTGGCCACAGAGCAGGAGCGGCAGATCTGCCGGGAGAAGGTGGGCGAGAAGCTCTGCGAGAAGGTCATCAACATTGTGGAGGTGATGAACCGGCACGAGTACCTGCCCAAGATGCCCACGCAGTCGGAGGTGGACAACGTGTTTGACACAGGCTTGCGGGATGTGCAGCCCTACCTCTACAAGATTTCCTTCCAGATCACTGATGCCCTGGGTACCTCGGTCACTACCACCATGCGCAGGCTTATCAAAGATACCCTTGCCCTCTAGGCCTTAACTGGGGCCGCGGGTTCTCCTGGATGGCTTGTGGACCTTGGCTTCCGGGGATCGTACTGTGGGGCCCATGGGGCTCTGGAACGTGCTCCGGGTCCTTGATGAGACTTGGAATGGCCACCCCTGGCTTCCTTGTTTTGTGGCTGCCAGTCTTTGGTCATCTCTTTAACCTTTGCTAATGGTCAAGTCTGGCCTTCACTGTCTCTCTGCACCCCTGTGGGGGTCCCCCTTCCTCCACTGTATGGAAGAGCCATAGCTAGGATGGTGAATAAAGTTGAGAATATTTGGGTTGAGCCATCTCTCCGTTAGCTTGTGTTCTGCCCTGAAACATTTAACACTCCCTGGCAGACCTGTGAGGATACAGGTGTGTGTTAAGGGCATTATTCCAACATGAAGGGAATGGGGGGAGGGGATAGATTAACACTGATCAGTTTGGTACTTTGTTGGACATTCACATAAGCAGGTGTTAACCACCCAGGTGTCACCGTGGTCAGCCTGTGAAAGACGACACAGATCAGGAACTGTTGCTTTTGGATATGATTGCTGTTTCTTCTCCCTAAGGAAGCTGTGATATCCCTGCCTTTTATATTATCTGGTCTGGTTTCATGATGGCCTCAAAGAGTATCTTCTGTGTCTTCATAGAGCACATCCAGGCCCCCGCGTGCACCAGAAAGCTCATTTAACTGGGGGTTTCCTTCTCTGGAGAGAGACTGGCCAACTTGAGACCGGTGTTTGATGACACTTCTTCCAGGTCAGGCTGGCCCTTGCTGGTAGTTAGGACAGTGCTTTGTTAACACACTCATTTCTACACCAGCATACTCAAAATCCGTGACCTCCTTCTTGTGTACTTCTGATTTATTCTATATTTTATACTTTTGGGTTGTATGTGGGCAGTTGTACCAGGCTAAATGGAGCGGTGGGGTGGGGGGGTCTTGCCCGTGGTCCCGGATCAGGTAGGTAGCCAGCGTAGGCAGGAAGTGTTCACACATTTTTCCCATTCCAGGCCACCTTGGCCCTGTGATACTTCACAACAGATCTTGTGAAGTCTTGCCCTTGATCTCTGGGGCATTGGGAGAACTCAGGAGGTTCTTAAGGCTTTGGAGACGGGGAAGGCCGTTTCCTAGCAGGTCTTTGATGGTGTGTAATTCCTACCTGGCCTGCTGCAGTCTGGGGATCTTCTTTTCCTCCTAGCTAGCCATCAGCTAATCCCTTCTGAGTGGTTGGTTGGCTGATAGAGTTAGTTGTTTGTTGGCCGTGACTTAGTTTTTAAAAAAAGAGCTCCAGGTTGCTGTCTTTCAGGAGACCTGAGCAGGAGGGTCTTCCCTCCATCCCAGCTTTTTGAGACTTTCTACTTTACTGCAGCCAGACTCTGATCTACCTCCGACCCCAGGTTGGCTGTGGGACACCCTGCAGGCAGTGAGCTCCCCTTGGTGGACAGGACAGTAACCTTTCCATTCCTTTTGGCATTATGATTTCCCAGAGGTAGGGGACTGATTTACTCAAGGCCGAAACAGGAGCCCTGGTGACTCAAATCTGCTTTCTCATCAGTAGGTAACTTGACCTCTGGGGCCTGAGCAGAGGAATGGGGATAGGACTTGAAGTTCCCCTGCCCTCCGTCTCTCCTTGCTGTGGGCCCAAGGAGGCACTGGCCTGCTTGTCCAACTCCAAGAGGCTCCCAGAAGGGACGGTGGAGGAGTAAGGATCCGTGCCCCTCAGGTCCCGGAGGCTGCTCATTTGCCTCCTGTTCCAGTGGCCACCTGGGCCGCCTGGCAGTATTGAGCTTTGGCTCAGGGACAGCCCGGGAATGCTTGCTTGTCTTGTGTCCTGTTTAGTGGGGTGGCACCCCACCACCAGCACCTGGGGTGGGGTCCGGAAGATTTTTTCAGTTCTGAGGGAGGTGCTGTCTCTTGACTTGCTTTGCCACGGGAGAGGGAAAGCCTTGGGGACTGGACTCTGGCTTTGGCTGGTTGGGTGCACGGGCTGGATTCCCACGCGTGGGTGTGGTTGGGACAGGAAGAAATACCCCGGCCCCGGGAGTCTGGGCCATAGTCCCCGCTGGAGGAGCTCTGCGCGCAGGGTGGGAGCCAACAGCGGCTGGGATCCGCCCCTCGGGCCCCTCCCCTATGCAGCCGAGGCCCGCCCGCTGGGGCTCCAGCACATCTGGCCCTCCCGCGCACATCTGGGCAGCCAGCCGCGCGTAGCATGAACGGCTCCCAGGCGGGCGCTGGGGCCCCGGCCACCTGGCTGAGCTCCTGCTGCAACCAGTCGGGGGTGCCGCCGCCGGAGTCCCCCGAGGCGCCGCGCGTCGTGCTGGCGGCGGTGCTGGTCGTGCTGTCGCTGCTCGTGCTCTGCGGCGTCCTGTTCCTGGGCGGCGGCCTCCTGCTCCGCGCCCAGGGCCTCGTGGCGATGCTGGTCCGCGAGCGGCGCGCGTCCGGCGAGGCCGAGCCCGGCGGCGCCAGCGGAGGCGAGGACGACTCCTAGGCGCCCGTGCGCTCGAGGGTCGCGGCCTCCAGGCGGCCCAGGACTCGGCGCCCGACGGCTGCTGCGGAGCGAGGGCGCCGCGTCCTCCACCGAGGCTGGCACCCGCGCAAGTGAGAGCGGGGGGGCAGCTCTTCAGCGACTCGGGTTCGCCCTGCACGTCCACCAGGTGGGCCCTGCGGCTACCCCGGAGGTGCCGGGACCAGAGGGAAGAGGCTGCCATCCTCTCGGGTCTCTCCCGCAGCGGCGCCCCACCCGTGTCCTCTGTGAGGGGGAGGCAGGGCGGATCAGAGGAGGGCTTCTGGAGGCGGCTGCGGTGTACTGTGGAGCCCCTCCCTGCCCGTACCCAACGCCAGCTTTGCCCCAGCCCCACCCTGAGCTAAGGCCCAGCTCAGCCGGGGGCCCAGCACGGCCCATGCCTCTGGGAGGCTAAAGGGGCCTGCCACAGAAACTTCCACAACCCGGCCTTCGGCTTCTGCTTCCTCCTCCTCTCCTTCCTGAAGCCTTGTCCCTAGACAGGGGTCCGAGTAAGATTCCTCACTGTGGCCTCCCTTTGGAGGCAGAGATGGGAGTGTGGGTCCTGTTTTATGGCAGAGCCAGGGGCCTGGGTGACTCTGGGGGATGGGGAGGTGTGGAGGGGTCCCCCCTCCCCCAGACCCTGTTCTGGTGTGTGTGTGTGGGGGGGGGTGGGCAGGTGTGGCCCAGAGCACTGAGCTTTGCGGTATGTGTGGGGAAGGTGGTGGATGGCAAGGTTCCTGACAGCTGGGGGGCCTCATGAGCACATTGCTGTAGGAAGCCGGGGCTGAGGATTCCCAGCTGTGGGGGCTCCATCTGGCTCTCCTGTCTCTGACTCTCCAAGGACAAGAACCATCTGGAGGGAAGGGCCTGGGTGGCCTAAAGACAAGGTAATTCCAGGCCAAGGCCACCTTGTGGGGAGCCACAGGGGTTGGGCAGGGAAGACTTCACTGTCTCCTCTGCTCAGCATTGTACCTGTGGGCTCCCGGGAGGTTTCTGTGGGGCTCTTCTTCGGGGGTGCCTCTGACCTGTTGCTTGCCAAGGGCAGAGGCAGGGTCCCAGCTTCCCTCTGAGAAGGGAGTCAGTGCATGTGAGGGGAGGCTGGGGAGCGGAAGGTGGCGGCGTGGGCGGGGTGCGGCTGAGCAGCTGCGAAGCTGACGACGTGTGATCCCTGCACAGAGCAGCCCAGGATTTAGCACTAATCCCGGGCAGTTGTACCACGCTGGCCTTGCTGAGCTGGGGACTTCTCACCTCACGGATGCCGCTGCCGCCCCTTCAGAGAGAGGGCTGGCCAGGGCGGTGAGGGGCGTGAGCGTGTGACTGCTTCTGGCGTCAGGGCAGCGGGCCAGAACTGGGGCCCCGGGCCACCTCCCTTTGCGGCGTGCCGGGCGAGGGGTGAGAATGCCCTCTTTTTATTGTATCCAGGTGCCTTCGCCCCCTTGCCTGATAACATTCTGCTGTTTTTCGACCCTTTCTCCGCCCTGTGCTCTTCTCTCCTGCCCCAACCCGGATAGAGGAATTTCCATATCCACTGTGAACCCTTCATTTTGCAAATGGAGGCATTCAGAGAGAAGAAAGTGACATGCTCCAGTGAGTGACAGAGCTGAACGAAGCCTGAGGCTCCTGATTCCGAGCTCAGGGGGTGGGGGCGTCCCTGAGCGAGAAGGTTCCTCCTTGGGTCGTTCCTCTTGCTCTGTCCTTGATTTCCCGCCACTCTTGGAGATGCTGATGCAAAATACGACCTCTCTCCGTGAAAGAATGAACCGTCACATACACACCCCTATTTGGCCTATGGAATCTGCGACTGGAACCCCAGGCCCCCATGTTACTGCCTCCCTCTTGACCCTTCTTCCCCAGCGGCCTTGTTAGATTGCCTTTTATTGCTGGCTACAGGCTTCCAGCCGCTGGTAGCTGTTCTCCAGCCAGCAGGGCTCAGCTTTCCTCTGGCCTGAACCTGAGGGTGGGGGTGGGCTCACAAGGTATCTATGGAAGACACTCCAAGGGGATGGAGGAGAGGGATCAGAGGTGAGGGTGATGACTTTGGATTGGCGTTTGGATTCAAGTCTGGGTGGTGGTAGGGGTGTAGAGAGATCTGGTAGAGGGAAGGGCGGTGTCCCCAGCGTCATGTGTCTGCGGGGGACCGAGCGGGTAGGCAAAGGCTCTCTTTATCCAACTTCCTGCCTCTGCTGTCCCTTCAGCTCAGTGCTGGGAGAGCCCTGCCGTGGCCTGTGCCAGGGACCTCGATGTTCCTGGGGGAAGATACTGGGATGTTTGTTGTGGAACTCTGACCCTGGCCAAGGCTGTCTGACTAAGTGAGGAGGAAGAAGATTTAGAGAATTGGCGAACGAGTGCTGCTGTCTTCCCATCTCTCAGGCCGCAGCTTGGAGTGACAGGTGTGTGTGGGGGGGGTGTGGTCTGAGGGCCATGGAGTAAGGCTGGGCATCTGGACCCCCAGCAGGCTCCATTAGCCTGCACTGTCCCTGAGGGAAAGGCTGGGGCCACAGATGGGTGATCTTGTCTTAACCTTCCTGTGGCCCGTGAGTTTCACTGTGAGCTGGAAAGGGCTGTTGGGGGTTGATCCAGTCCATTCCTCAGCGAAGATGGGCGGGGGCTGTCTGTTACAGATTCTTGAGCCTCATGTGGTCTGTCTCCCAGAGAGCTTTGCCACCAGCCTGCAGCACCAGGGAACTCCTGCTACCTTTGATCCCTGAGTGGTGCAGACCAGACTGGGAGAAAGCTGGCTTGTGGTGAGGCCTCCACCTGCGATCCTTGCACTCAGCCCTGCCTCTTGTTTGCTCAGTCCGTTCAGCCTCCTGCAATACCCGTGGACGTGGGGCTGGGAGGTCAGCGCTCCAGGGATGAGCGAGCCCCCTGAGCAGCTGCTGCATGTCCGGGGCGCCGGAGTGCACGTACACCCTGGGTGCTCAATGCGGCAGATGCTGGCTCCGCCCCCTGACTTGCAGGCCTCCGATGACAGGAGTGCAGCCCCTGTCCCATCTCTGATACCTGTGTCAGACCACACTGGCTGCTGTGGTCTGACAGGCCAGTGACCCGTCCCTGCTGAGGGCCGTGGGTCAGTGTCATCCATTTGGAGATCTTGGGTGCCCCAGCAATGCCCTATCACTTCCTGTGGCTTGTTATTAAATACGCTGGTAATGCAAGTGTGGGGTGTACGGTCTATGTTTTCAGCTCTAGACTCTTGGCATTAGTGGTACCCTGCTCCCACCCTCCCTCCAGTTTGAACTGTTTCTAGCTGATCCTGAAAGAGCAACCCCAGCCAGGGCCCCTCTGCCCTGGCCTCTCCTCAGTGGTGGCTATTCCCCTCCCACCCCCAGAGCCAAATCTTTCCAAGGGTGGGTAGCAAGTGGGGCCGACAGTGACGTTCATGCCGGCAGTCGGCTGCCCCCCAGTGGCCAGTGCGGGCCAGAACACCACTTCCTTCACCTGGTGTTCTGGGGTGTAATCACAGTCCAGCCTTAACCCGAGGTGCTTTGAAATGAGAGTGGATTTTGTGAGCGTGTGCACTGAATTCTAGGTGGTAAACCATCCTGAGCCTCCGTCTCTTCATCTATAAAATGGGGGCAACAGGGGGCACCTGGGTGGCTCAGTCGTTAAGTATCTGCCTTCAGCTCAGGTCATGATCCTGGGGTCCTGGGGTCGAGCCCCGCATCAGGCTCCCTGCTCTGCGGGAAGCCTGCTTCTCCCTCTCCCACTCCCCCTGCTTGTGTTCCCTCTCTCGCTGTTTCTCTCTCTCTGTCAAATAAAATCTTTAAAAAAAAAATAAAAAAAATAAAAAATAAATAAAATGGGGGCAACAGTGTCCTTGTGAGGATCAAACAGGCAATGTGCTTGTCCATAGATAAAAGGTTTTCTACACTGTAATTACCATGTGATGTTATTTTTCTCCCCCCCGAACCCGACCATTCCCAGAGAAGAGGTGTAGAACCACCCACCCTGTTTCTGGGAACACTTGATTTATTCATCTTTTCCACGAGTATTTACCGAGTGACTGCTCTGTGCCAGGCAGGCTCTGGGACCTGGGGATGAGGTGAACGCCCCAGAGCCCTTGCCCTGGAGGAGCTCACAGTCAGGTAAAGAGCACTGCTCACAAAACTGAAGTTAACATAGACAGTAAGTCGTGCCCAGTGTCAACAGAGCCAAGAGCAGAGAGTGACCTGCTCCTAGAGAAGGGGGTGTACTGAATGGGCACTCACAAGGCGAGGAAGGGGAAGAAGAACATTCTGGACAGAGGTGCGGAGGGTGTGGGGCGGGGGGTGCCCTGTGAGCAGGGTCGGTAGAGCACAGTGTGAGACCAGAGGGGTGGCAGCTGGAGAGGAGTGGAATTTACCCTGGGGTAGTGAGGTATCTAGAGGGTTTCAAGCTGCGAAGTGACATGGTTAAGATCTGGATCTTAGGGGGTTGGGAGGGAAGTTGGTGGGTGGGAGCAGGCTGGACAGCAAGGAGGCTGTGATCAAAACCCGGCAGTCAGGGCGCCTGGGAGGCTCAGTTATTTAAACGTCTGCCTTCAGTTCTGGTCATGATCTCGGTCCTGGGGGTGGGGGAGCCTGCTTCTCCCTCTCCCTTTGCTGCTCCCCCTGCTTGTGCTCTCTCTTTCTCTCTGTCAAATAAATAAATGAAATCTAAAAAAACAAAAAACAAAAAACAAAAAGCCCCTAAAACTGGCAAAGTCATAGTGGCCTGGACGAGGGTGGAAAGTAAGGGGACAAATCCAAGTGATATTCAGGGTTCAGGCTTTGGTCACGAGTTGGATGTGGGAGCTGAGGGAGGAGGAGGGAAGGACCTAGTTCCTACTCTGAATTACTGAGTTGTGGGGAGATACCTGCCACCCACCCAGGTGACAGGTGACATGTTATCAGGACTTTTGGGGTCTGAATTTACCGGAAACCCAAAGGATATTTGGCTTGAGCATTGGGAATTGGCCCATGGAACTGAAAAGCCCAGGGGTAGCTCTGGCCTCAGGCCTACTGTGACTCAGGTCTCAGCTGATGAGAGCGGCCTTGGTTTCTCTTCCTTCCAGGGCTTGGTCTGGTCACTGCTGTCAGCCTCTGGCAGGGGCGTCTAGTGGTCCGAGCAGGGACTTGGAATCACACAGCTGGATTTGTACCCTGGCCCCGCATGCACTAGCAGTGTGATCTGGGCAACGCGCTTCATCCTCGGTGGCTTGATTCCCTCCTCTTTAGGGTGGTGAAAGGCAGGGCCTATCTTGTGCCTTGTTTTGTTAGGACGGATGAGATTCACACATGTAGGGTGCCTGGCACAGAGCAAATGCACAGTTAGTGTTCATGTTGTTAGTCTCAGCCTCCACGTGAGGCCGGATGTGGCTTTATGGTCAAATCTGTCAGGAAAGAGAGGGGTCATCTCTCAGGTCAGTCAGCCCAAACCTCTGGAGCAGCTGAGACTGGGCCTGTTTGACTCTGTACTCACCCTGAAGTACTATGCTTCGAGGACAGAATGTTCTAGGCCTCAGTCATGCTCGACTCCTGTGGCTGCCGTCCCCTCCCTCCTCCTCACAGCCCCCCTCCCTCAGCCGCACTCCCCACCCCAGCTTCAGCACAGGACCCAAAAGAACGGGGATGTCTCCTCACCAAATCTAGGCCTATTTCAGTCCTGGGGTGAACAGAGGCTGGGTGGCCATAAACCAACTCATGGCCGCAGGCAGAGGGGAGGGCTGATGAGTCCAGTTCTGGTGTGTTGAATTTGAGGGGATGCTGTCGGGTGGACAATTGGTGTATGGGGCTGGGGCTCCACAGAGAGAGTTCTGGACCATGTTGCTAGGGCCAGAACACAGAGCTGTGGGAAGGGGTCAGGTTCGGTGGGGTCGTTGGGGGAAGTGGGAGGAGAATAAGCTTGCCACCTTGCAAGACACCACTTAAAGGCAAGGCAGAAGAGGGGCTGGCGAGGAGGCAGAGGACGAGGATCCAGGGAGGTGGGTGGGGAGCCGGGGAGCGGGCTATCTTGGCAGTCAGAAGAAAAAATTTGGGAACCGAGTGGGTGGCCAGGAGCGTCCGTGCCCCAGCAGTTGTTGTGTGCTGGGGAGAGGCCTCAGCCGGAGCCCTTGCCGCAAGCAAGTGGGGAAGGCTTCTCCCTACCACACAGCCGACCCGAGCTCCCCTGCTACCACCCTCTGCCTCGGAGCCCTCATTCAGAAGAAAGCCAGGGAACCCACTGTGGGCAGGGGTTGGGTTTATTTGTTTTTTTTTTTTTTTTTTTTTAAAGATTTTATTTATTTATTCACGAGAGACAGAGACAGAGAGAGAGAGAAGCAGAGGGAGAAACAGGCTCCCAAGGAGCAGGGAGCCCGATGTGGGACTCGATCCCAGGACCCTGGGATCATGACCTGAGCCGAAGGCAGACGCTTAACCATCTGAGCCACCCAGGCGCCCGGGTTTATTTGTTTTTATAGCACCCTTCCCTGTACTGTGTGAATGCTTACCACACACGTCTTGCCTAGGCAAAATAAAACAATACAAAACACTCACAATGGAACCTCATCCTAGTCCATGGCCACTGGGCTTCCCTTCGAGGGCATAGCAGCCAGACTTCTGTGAGTCCCGCTTCCTGCCAGGAGGGCTGAGGCTTCAGCCACACCCCTACCCCTGTGAGTCCTCTGTCTGCCTGGACGTGGCTCAGAACGACTCTGTCTCTGAGACCCTGACTTCAGATGCCGCTGTGCTTTATGGTCACACCTTCTGTACCTTCAACCTGCACATTCAAATGTCTTCAAGATGCTCCACCGAACCCACCCTCTACTTCCTCCTTATTCCAGTCCCACCCATCGCCCACTTCCTGCCCCTCCAGTTTCCAGTCCATGAGCATTACCTCAATCCCGCTCTTGCCCATTTCCCGACTCCACTCCTCCCATGGAGCCCTCCCGGTAGAACCTCAGCCCCGCAGGGATGCAGCTCTCTGTTCTCTGAACTTACACTTGACTGCAGACTGCCTCCAGAGACCACCACAGCCCCGGGCAGACTGATGGCGCCAAGAATGGCCACCCGGTGGACCCTTGCCACGTCTGGCCCTGGCTCCAGCTGGCTCTGTCTCCCAGCTGAATTAGGGCAAACCTTCCCCTCTCTCAGACCCTGCCCTCTCTCCTCCCCTGCGCTCTGCTCGGATGTCCTCAACTCCGGCTTCTCACGGAACAGAGGCGCTAGCAGACAACGCTGCCTCTGCTTCTGTCCCCAGATCTGCAGCGCACCTGCTGGGAGCCAGGGGCTTTCTGGGGCCCCGCCCCCGCCCCGCGCTGAGGGGGCGCTCCTGCCTCTGCGCCCCTCCCACCCGGCCGCCCGGTGCTGCTGATGGTCCTCCTCTGCTCCCCCGCTCTTTCTCTGCTGGCTCTGGCTCCGAAACACACTCAGGTTTCTTCCAGCTTAAAATAGCCCTCCTCTGCACCCAGGGCTCCTTCAGTTACTGCCCTGCCTCGCACTTCGTCTTTGTAGCCAAACTTCTCCAAAGAGGTGGCCCACACTTGCACCCGTGTCCTGGCCTCCTGCGCACCCCTCCCTCTTCTGAAGATCACCAACCCCTGAGTTCTTTTTTTTTTTTTTTTTTTTTTTTTAAGATTTTACTTATTTATTTGACAGAGAGAGACACAGCGAGAGAGGGAACACAAGCAGGGGGAGGGGGAGAGGGGGAAGCAGGCTTCCTGCTGAGCAGGGAGCCTGATGCAGGGCTCGATCCCAGGACCCTGGGATCAGGGCCTGAGCAGAAGGCAGATGCTTAACGACTAAGCCACCCAGGCGCCCCCAACCAACCCCTGGGTTTTTATCTCAGCTGCCCTCCTGGCCACTCCTGCAGCTGCTGCCCCCTCCCTCCTCCTCACAGCCCCCCTCCCCCAGCCCCACCCCCCATGCCAGCTTCAGCAAGAAGCTCTGGGCCTTGGAGAAGGGAGGCTGTGACTGTCAGCCCCCCCTGGGTCTGCCACTTACTCGGTAATGGAAATCCTCTCTCTCATGAGTAAAATTGAATAATGCTAATACCCACTTTGGGAAGCTCCCAGATTATGAGATTATGTGGCCCCAGCATGTGGGAGCACTGGCCTGGGTTGAGTCCAGGCCCTCAGCCCCCAGATGCGTGGCCCTGGGAGCATCTTGCTTGGCCCCTGTCCTTTCTCACCGCTCTCCAAGAGTCCTGTACCAGCCCCTCCTCTTTCCCTTCCCAGCCTTGCCTGCCGGGTTCCTCAGGACTCTGTCCTTGGCCTTCCTCTTACCCTGCCCTCTTGCCTGGGGTGCTCCCCCCCACCTTCTGGAGTTTAAATTGCCACCTCTTGGCCATGACTCTGAAATGTCAGCCGTCTTCGTTGTCATGGGGCGTGGTGTTCTCCTGTGTGTCCCTGTTTCCAAATGTCTTTCTTCTTATAAAGACACCAGTCATATTGGATTAGGGGCCCACCCTATTCCAGTATGACTTCATTTTAATTTAACTAACTACGTCTGCAATGACCCTGTTTCCTAATAAGTTCACATTCTGGCACTGGGGGTTAAGACTGCAACATTTTTAAAAAATAGATACGTATATATTTTAAAGATTTTATTCATTTATTTGAGAGAGAGAACTAGCAGGGGGAGGAGCAGAGGGAGAGGGAGAGGGACAAGCAGACTCTGCGCTGAGCTTGCAGCCCAATGCGGGGCTCGATCCCATGACCCTGAGATATGACCTGAGTTGAAATCAAGAGTCAGACTCTCAACCAACTGAGCCACCCAGTCGCCTCAACACATCGTTTTTGATGGGGGAACACAATTCAACCCATACCAGATGGTACTAAGTGCTATGGAGAAAAACAAAATAGGGAGAATGCATGCACAGTGTGGGGGAAAGGTTGAAATTTTAAGTTGGGGTCGTCAGGGAAGGTGTCTTTGAGAAGGTGACATTTGACCAAATACCTGAGTGAGAGAATCAGTAGAGATACATGGGGAGAGAGCGCTCTGGGCAGCAGACAGCAAGCGCTGAGCCCCTGAGGAAGGAGCACACCTGTGTGGTTAAACACGGCAAGGAGGCCCAGGGAGTGGGGGTGCCATGACCGGACTGTGGAGGCCCCAGCCTCCCTACCCTTCGCAGGGAGGAGGAGTAAGAGGCTGCAGCCGAAACAGGTTTTCCACAGAGAGCCAGAAAATGTACCTCCCTTCTATGTTTTCTTAGAAAGCCCTGAAGAGGGGCGCCTGGGTGGCTCAGTTTTTAAGCGTCTGCCTTCGGCTCAGGTCATGATCCCAGGATCCTGGGAT